TGAATGGTTCAAAGGTACATATCATAATCAAATGTGAGACTTTCACTGCCAGGTGGTGAATGGTTCAAAGGTACATATCATAATCAAATGTGAGACATTCACTGCCAGGTGGTGAATGGTTCAAAGCTACATATCACAATCAAATGTGAGACATTCACTGCCAGGTGGTGAATGGTTCAAAGGTACATATCATAATCAAATGTGAGACTTTCACTGCCAGGTGGTGAATGGTTCAAAGGTACATATCATAATCAAATGTGAGACTTTCACTGCCAGGTGGTGAATGGTTCAAAGGTACATATCATAATCAAATGTGAGACTTTCACTGTCAGGTGGTGAATGGTTCAAAGGTACATATCATAATCAAATGTGAGACTTTCACTGCCAGGTGGTGAATGGTTCAAAGGCACATATCATAATCAAACGTGAGACATTCACTGCCAGGTGGTGAATGGTTCAAAGGTACATATAATCAAATGTGAGACTTTCACTGCCAGGTGATGAATGGTTCAAAGGTACATATCATAATCAAATGTGAGACTTTCACTGCCAGGTGGTGAATGGTTCAAAGGTACATATCATAATCAAATGTGAGACTTTCACTGTCAGGTGGTGAATGGTTCAAAGGTACATATCATAATCAAATGTGAGACTTTCACTGCCAGGTGGTGAATGGTTCAAAGGTACATATCATAATCAAATGTGAGACTTTCACTGCCAGGTGGTGAATGGTTCAAAGGTACATATCATAATCAAATGTGAGACATTCACTGCCAGGTGGTGAATGGTTCAAAGGTACATATAATCAAATGTGAGACTTTCACTGCCAGGTGATGAATGGTTCAAAGGTACATATCATAATCAAATGTGAGACTTTCACTGCCAGGTGGTGAATGGTTCAAAGGTACATATCATAATCAAATGTGAGACTTTCACTGCCAGGTGGTGAATGGTTCAAAGGTACATATCATAATCAAATGTGAGACTTTCACTGCCAGGTGGTGAATGGTTCAAAGGTACATATCATAATCAAATGTGAGACTTTCACTGCCAGGTGGTGAATGGTTCAAAGCTACATATCATAATCAAATGTGAGACATTCACTGGATAATCGAGGGTAGATTTCCCGTTACACTAGATCTTGTGTCGGTGAGACTGCTCTCGACTAGTAGACACGGGAATACTGATGAAATGTACACTGTCTGCTCAGATGAAAATCAAATCTTCATAACAGCACAAGGAAGAAAATATGACAATGTCGGTATTTCTTAATTACGACACATATCTCAAACGACACTTGGATGTTTACAGAAAGACTTATACGCAAAAACTACTTTTGTAAATGTCAAGTTACGGAATACTTGTTACGGTAGTAAAGTTATCTGTCGAGCTGGCATCTGAGTTGTTCTGTCACCTGCGAGTCTTAGACATACATACGTTAGGCTAAACTGGAGCAAAAGTGCGGATTGTTTCCAAGTTCTGGTGAAAATCCAATGTGCAAGCACTTGACATAAAATGGTCTTTTTCGCCATAGGTTAGTACTGCCTGGTACCAACATCCTTCAGACGCTTCGTGTAAACCCCTGGGGCGGTCGGGTAGCCTAGTGGTTAAAGCGTTCGCTCGTCACGCCGAAGACCCGGGTTCGATTCCCGACATGGGTACAATGTATGAAGCCCATTTCTGGTGTCCCCCGCCGTGATATTGCTGGAATATTGCTAAAAGCGGCGTAAAACCATACTCACTCACTCACCCACACACTCACCCATGTTAACCCCTAAACTCGGCCTCTTTGACATACCGTACCTCAGCCTCTGCATTGTCCAAAATGTACCAATGTTCTTATTCTCGTTCATGTGATACACCCGATATCTTTGGGCCATAATAGGACCCTTATCACAAGACTCACGCACGCACGCACGCGCGCACGCAAACACACCATCCCATTCCTTTCTCAGCTCAATACTCACCTGAAAATAAAGCTATACTTGACAAATCCTTAATACTCGAGGGTTTCCTTAAAAAGTTATTTCTACTTAACCTTATACATGACATTACTTCAGGGACTATGGCTCTACAGCTCCTGCACGTCACCATAGGTCTAGAAGTGTGGACCTGATAGACAAACTCCTTTACAGTAGAATTATTGTCTACGATACTGGTCACGTGATAATAAAGGGCTCGACTTGATACTCAGCTTATGTTTGTTTGTTTGTTTGTTTGTTGTTTAACGCCGCACTCAGCAATATTCCAGCTATATGAGGGCGGTCTGTAAATATTCGAGTCTGGACCAGACAATCCATTGATTGACATCGATCCACGCAATTAGGATACGATGACATACATCAACCAAGTCAGCGAGCCTGACCACCCGATCCCGTTAGTCGCCTCTTACGACAAGCATAGTCGCCTTTTACGGCAAGCATGGGCTGCTGAAGACCAATTCTACCCCGCATCTTCACGGATCACTCAGCTTATGTCATTAAGACAAACATATATAGACGGAGGTCGGTACGCTTGTCGTATGCAGTCCACGCACCTGAACAGGCACATTAGCACAATTCAAGTGACAAACACGTGTTGCTATGTCCACCAATACAACAGCATGCATGGTTTGTTTTAGAACCCGACAACTTCGATCACACCTCAACGTGTGTGTAGTGCATGACAGTGAATACATGGATTAGTGGAATGGTGGATGGTAGCGATGACCTGAACATGACATTCTAATGAAATAATTTATAAATAATAATATATCTCTATAATTACTGAATACAGTTACATACAGTGTGCAGTGAGGCCGTCTGATTGTTGGTCGTCATTTTGGAGATATATGCGAAATTTTATTAATGCGAGCAAAGACCACTCCCATTTTTCGCATATAATTCATGCTTGCGTTAATTTAAAGATTGACATTAATAGACATATTTGTGTTTCGAGTGAAGCAGATGCTGGTTACTCGATGTGTGTGGATTGACAGCTATATCGCTAAGTCAGGGCTGAATAACCCAGTAATGAGGATTTCACCGCATATGTGCCATTTAGCCATTAAAGTTTGACTTATACAATTTCTTGCAATGGAATTTCTGTATTCACCAGCTTAAGTATTTCGTGTTTTCTTCTAAAACGTTACCTAAAATAATCAACAGATCTAAATATATTCTCAAGAGACCAAACACACCAGTAATTTCAACAACTGATTTTACCCGATTTGCGTATTAACCTAAACGATGCAAACAGGTTGTTTTTCTTCGTCGTAGTAAAGTGTGTATATCTATCTCTAAAGTGTTATCTTCATCTCAGTATAGATATTATACTATAAAATTTATCTTCATCTTAGTATAAATAGAGAATATATTTATCTATAAAGTTTATTTTCATCTTAGTATAGATTGAGTATATATGAATCTATAAATATTTTCTTCATCTTAGTAAAGTTTGTTTGATTGTTGTTTAACGCCGCATTCAACAATATATTGCAGCTATATGAAGGCGGTCTATAAGTAATCATGTCTGGACCGGACAATCCAGTGATTGAGATGTGCACCGATACACGCAATTGGGTTACGATGACTTGCATCAAACAACTCAGCGAGCCTGACCACCCAATCCCATTAGTCGCCCCTTACAAGATAGAGTATACTTTTATCAAGAATGTTTTAATGATCTTAGTATCTGTGGAGTATATATTTATATATATACAGTAATCTTCGTCTTAGTAGAGATAGAGTATATATTTCTATATACAGTAATCTTCGTCTTAGTAGAGATAGAGTAGATATTTCTATATACAGTAATCTTCGTCTTAGTAGAGATAGGGTATATATTTCTATATACAGTAATCTTCGTCTTAGTAGAGATAGAGTAGATATTTCTATATACAGTAATCTTCGTCTTAGTAGAGATAGAGTAGATATTTCTATATACAGTAATCTTCGTCTTAGTAGAGATAGAGTATATATTTCTATATACAGTAATCTTCGTCTTAGTAGAGATAGAGTATATATTTCTATATACAGTAATCTTCATCTTAGTAGAGATAGAGTATATATTTCTATATACAGTAATCTTCGTCTTAGTAGAGATAGAGTATATATTTCTATATAAAGTAATCTTCGTCTTAGTAGAGATAGAGTAGATATTTCTATATACAGTAATCTTCGTCTTAGTAGAGATAGAGTATATATTTCTATATACAGTTATCTTCGTCTTAGTAGAGATAGAGTATATATTTCTATATACAGTAATCTTCGTCTTAGTAGAGATAGAGTATATATTTCTATATACAACTGACCCGTGGTTAGGTACGATTGTAACACTTGCTAGCATCGCCTTTCATCCGAAATGATTATGTAACGACGGGACATGGAACCTCAAATGATCCTGAGTTATAAAGCCGCTCTGACGATGTTTCATTTAGCATAAACTAACTTAAAAATTGACGAAAGTCTCCTTTAATCTTCGTCTTAGTAGAGATAGAGTACGTATTATCTGTAAAGTATGATGAATTTACACAGGTCGATTAATTTGTCACTACTCGTGACGTAATGATGTGTGAACACAGAAGGAATACAAGTACTTTAATTATTTATTCGATATACCAATTTAAGGAGTCTAAAATACTGTCGAAACCTCTTGGATACATAACGTCACGTGATCAGCTGACGCTATACTTGTTTGCGCGCACAGAGACAGGCTGTTATATGGTAGACACGACCTCATGGAAGGAGCTATACAACCTTTAGAGGCTTAGAGGTTAGAGGATTACTTTAAATATACACTTGTGAGAAACCGCTCAGTATGACTGACACCTTTACATATAAAACTAAGGCTTTACTGTTAAAGAAACTCTCAAGAATTTGTCATGACCCGTTTTGACCTTATCAAAGCATAATTACTGATAGTAGATCAAATATTGACAATAAAGTCGTATTTGTGCTCTCCCCTTCTGTACACACAGGTGGGGCGCTTTCAGTTAAAAACGTGTCTTGACGAGTTGTCTCCCTTGTAATGTGCTCATAATTAACTTGGAATCTTTTTGCCAGGAATCAAGAGCATTAAGCTTAGAACACGATGTAGAGTAGACCACAGCCAGTTTGGCACATAGTACACGAGGAGTACGCAAACACTCGCCCTGTCACGGCGCTCTTGATTTAAGTGTTGTAAGGGGCCCTTCTCTGCTGTTTTAGGATACAAGCGACATCTATTTATCAAACTTCCGCTTGCGTTGAGACGTGGAGGTGGAAAAGAGATTACGGATCATTGGGTAAGTCCAACCAAAATAGTGTTTTTGGCGGCTCGGCGCGTTGACGAAAACAAAGGTCTATCAAATGACCGGGGCGTTTTGTTCGAAGTTGCCGGTGATTCGAGTTGGACACGAATGTGTTGCGAGCACGCCCCGGTTCTTCGTTAGATTGACAGAGATCGGGTATTCTCGACTCCGTGCAGAAAGTACCTCGTTCCGAGTCTCATGTTTTAACCTTGTTTAAGAGTATGTTATCACTATCTAAAGAGTTAAAAACCGTAATAACTTCTTGTGTAGTGTGCTGGCTAGATCGCCGGATGGATGTGCGTATTTTGTTGAGGTGTTTAGGAGGGAATATTGATAGCATAGCCTATGCCTAAGTCACACATACCAAATCAAAATCTTATCTTGTTTTTATGTAACACGTAAAAGCACTTCAATCCAAATTGTACACAACTATGTATGAATAGTAGTCATTCTGTCTGGGTGCACTTTAGGCTAACACTTTTAAGTGCCACACCCATTTTACTACATTTTATCTTGCCTTGGGTTGTTGTCCGTTTCTGATTGGTTACTGAATGGGTATTTGCCCCCAGGGTACCCAGATGACATGTTTATAATATCTCAAAACTGAAACTCCAACGTAACAGACCATATCTGATGGCATCAATGAATTTGTTTGGGCAACAATGCAGTTTACCGGGCGCAGCCTGAGCTCTACCATCCGCTCAATTACCGCGCTATAGTGCCACCGCTGTCTCGTTATACCGTTACCGTGCCTCACGCTCTGGTGACTCTCGCTTCACGATCCAACACTCGTTTTCGGTCTTAGGGAAACTTACACATCTTTACAATCAAACACCCGTTCTCGGTCTTAGGGAAACTTACACATCTTTACGATCAAACACCCGTTCTAGGTCTTAGGGAAACTTACACAACTTTACGATCCAACACCCGTTTTTCGGTCTTAGGGAAACTTACACGTCTTTACGATCCAACACCCGTTTTCGGTCTTAGGGAAACTTACACGTCTTTACGATCCAAAACCCCTTTTCGGTCATTAGGGTCAGTGGGTTTGGGCAAGGGTTAGCCATAAATTCTTACTTTTTCAAGCGTTAATCCAGTTAATCCCATTGGTCGGTCATGTTGACATAAACAATTGCGGGTGTGGTTTCGAGAAAAGATGAATTGGAGAGCGGGCAGTGACGTCACACGCATGCGCAATTCATTGTTTACTGAATTACGCATGCATGTCAATGGGGATTCTAATGACCTGTTAAACGAGCACTGATTACATGTGATAGCGCCTGTGGTCCAGTGGTAGAGCGTAGGCTAATTAACGCATTAATTAGCAGAGCCGGTGAGCCGGCGAAGCGCGTTCGAGCCCCCACAGCGCTAATTGGATCTGAAAAAGTGCGCCCGGTAAAGTGCACTACTCCCTTTGTTTGTCGTCTGCTTGACATCAAGACGTCAGTAGAATGTTTCACTAGCCAAGAGAGTTGCTAATTCTTGGTAAACAAGTTGCTAATTCATAATTTAAATAATGTGATACCATGTTTATGAGCAGACCTTTCAAATGGTGTATGACATGTAGTAGCAAAGATGTTTTAAAATCAGATAATTTCCTTGATAAATGTAGGCTTCATCTATAGATCTGTCTCCCAATAGTCTCTGGGAAGTCAGTGTCACAGCAGTAACAGTTTCTGCTTGACTGGTGTTGGAGGAGTTCAGACCTGATCAGTCTTTCCTGCTGTTGTCTGGGTTCCATGGGTTCCAATGCAGAGAATAGAACACAGTGATGCTGGTCTGAAGGCTTCCATCACTTGTACGGAGAAGTTAGAAGCCTCGAAGCTGATTGGATGATTAGAAAATTCCCCCTGAAGTGACCATCTCTCATGTTATCTTCACGCAGAGCAGCGTCATATCAGTGTAAAAGATTGTAACAGCCACATATTGAAGATATGATATTCTCCTACGTCCCCCAACCATCACAAACCCTGAGGATACTGAGGATATTCCCCTCCGCCGCCCCCCCCCCCCCCCCCCCCCCAACCATCACTAACCCTGTTGATACTGAAGATAGGACATTCCCCCCAACCATCACTAACCCTGAGGATACTGAAGATAGGACATTCCCCTCCCCCGCCCCCCAACCATCACTAACCCTGAGGATGCGAGTAGGGGCCCTAGAGCTACACATGCTGAGGAACACTGAAAGCTTTGATCATTGTTGATAGTGAAAATGGGTCCCAAGGACTGAATATCATAAGGAAGGGCTTTCCTAGAAAAGGGGTCCTGAGGGCTAAAGAAGGTAGAGAAAGCTTTAATAAAGTGACTCCAACATGCCCAGTGGATAATGGTCATAAAAAGACTTGATAAGCACACTTGTTACTTGTTGACAGCCAGTCAAGAATTGTGTTGAGCAAAAGTCTTACAACCATATTACAGATTATTGAAAGTTTAACCTACCATCAGAATTATGTCAACCCCTACGACCTGCATGTCGCTCTATATGTCTATCTCCAGAGCAGGCAGCAGGCTTGAGCAGATCGGTGTTTGTCGACTGTAGGTAAGTGTGGCCATGTTGAGACTCTGGGCCAGAACAGGTCCTTAATTTCTCCTACTTGGTGACAGGGATTTGTTGGTCATGCTCTGTGACTTGGCTGCTCAGTGATTATATGTGTAGTTGTTGGTGTGGATGGTTTGCTCATACTTTCAATCATTGGTCCTCAACTATTTTCAGACTGTTGATTGTAAATACAGGTTGGATTTTTACTGGCTGTGACATTGAACAACATTCACAGTAGGTCACTCATTCAACAACATTCACAGTAAGTCACTCATTCAACAACATTCACAGTAAGTCACTCATTCAACAACATTCACAGTAGGTCACTCATTCAACAACATTCACAGTAAGTCACTCATTCAACAACATTCACAGTAAGTCACTCATTCAACAACATTCATGCATTCTTGCCCTGTGGGAAGGTCGGTTAGAACGGGTTAGAACAGCAACACCTGTGCTGGTCATGAGAGGCAGAGTGGATTGGGTGGTCAGGCTCCGTGACTGGGTTGAGGCTGGGTCAACTTTCCACAATGGCAGTTGCTCCATCACTGATCCTGACCATCGTCATCAGGCTGAAACATTGCTGAGTAAACAAAACTCATTACTACCATGTTAATTCAAGGCAGTTTGTATGCTGTTTATTAATCATGTTAATCCAACAGTTATGAATACCCTATCAACACAGGAACTGTTTCAGTTTCACACAAGGCACTTGTCACAGCGTCTACCTACACTAGCAGCTGATGTGGAATATGTTCCCTGTTTAAGCCGCTCATAAGACAGTAGCACATGTGTCAGAGAATACGGGTAGTGTCTGTGGAGGGACATGTCTCGGGTTCCTGGCTGAGGGTCCTTGGCAGGCTTTCAGCGTTAGAAATTTTCTTTTCTAAATGCCGTAAACTTTAACAGTCCAAAATTGAAAAGTGTACATTCATCTCTTATGTTATTTCTTGTGTTAAAACGTCTCCCTTTTCAAAAATTGATCGAACCTCAAAGTTTGAATATGGCAACCAGTGACCTGATTCACTACAAGAGAGTAGTGGTTGATATGACAAATGCCCAGTAATTTGAGTATGGCCCGGAAATTTACGAACACCTTGAAATCTGATGTTGCATCATCAGACCTGAGAGGCGATTGTATATCGGGGTGTCAGATTCGTTGACATGGATTGTCGCTCATAATATTATTCACTGGATTGCTTGGTCACACCTTAGTTAAAGACAGGCACCTAGAATATTGCTGAGTGCAGTGTTAAACCACAAGCACACAAACACAAGCACTTCTGCGATCATGTAGATACAGAAATATAAGTAAAAATGTATGGGTGGGTGTGTAGTGTATCATATCATTAGGTGTACGTTTGTGGAGCTTTGATAAGTTGGTGAATGACACCGGGATTTTTGTCAGTTGCATCAATATTTTTACTTGGCCTCAAGAGGAGATGAATTTTGTTTTCTGTATTTACAAAGATTTGAAGCAGACGAGGGAATGTGAGCTCTCTGGTCAGAACAGATCCATGGCGTAGCACTTTGCATGTCGAGTGACCAGCTGGTGTCTTGTGTCCCTGGCTTATACAATACGTACATGCATTAATCATATAGTCTACCACACCTCCCGCTAACTTCCAGTGTTATTTTTAAAAAAATCCATTCTCATCCCTGTCTGCAAGCCATTGAGGTTTGTGGAGTTTCTGTGAAATATTTGAGAAATAAGATATTGATGACTTTATCAATATGGGATAATATCAAAAGAATGGTTTGAAAAGTTAAATAAATGTGGAAAATTCTTAAAACTAAATTTTCTAATTAATGAAGACCTTTCTTACATTTAGACTTGTTACCATGGTTACTGTACTGATGCCTGATACTCTATTTATCAACATTTATTCTGATTAATAACACCTAGCGAAAACGTCCCATCAATGTCATGGTCTGGATTTAGAAGCGTATTTTTGTGAACATCACTATTAATGTTGTAACTATTAATGGGTTTTCAACACTCTCACCAATCAAACTGGATTCACATATAAGAACGTATATCACCTGATGAAGGAGTAAGTTAATACTCCGAAATATGTTCCGAAGTTGACATCCATAAATTCTCTTCCTTATGTGCATGACTTCTAAATGCCTTTTAAAGACTGGATTCACATAGTTTAGTGATCTCTATTGCTGGTGGGAGTGGGGGATATCATCCAGTACCTGCATACAGATCATGTTTATGCAAGATCATGCACATCCTGTTCACAGCACAAATCACAAATTTATAATGGACAAGTGAGATTTATGAAATATATTGAATCTGCCTGTGACAGGTGGTGTCAACAGATGTTTGTCAATCGCCCAGTTCAGTTTCATGAGGTGATAACAAGTACAATCTTTTGATATCTTTTGGTATGACGTGGCCAGGGATTGAACCAAAAACCACTACACCATAGAGGCAGTCTCCGGG